TGATCCGCTGGGATGCCTGCGTCTTCCCCCGCGACAGGATCGGCTGGGGCGGCAGGGGCTGCTGCGGTGTCAGGATCGGCTGGGCGGGCAGGAGCCTCTCCGGAGTCAGGATCGGCTGGGGAGACAGGGGCCGCCCCGGCGGCAGGATCGGCTGGGGAGACAGGGATCGCCCCAGCGGCAGGATCGGCTGGGGCGGCAGGAGCCTCTCTGGTGGCAGGGGATCCATCCCCGAGAGAGGGGACTTCTCTTCCCTCCGCGGCAGCGATGGCTGAGTCTCCTTCCATCTCGGCTGTTTCTCCCTCAACTGGGGGTCTCTCCGCTCGCTCTCTCTTATCTGGGGCTCCGGAGACCTCGATGGGCGGTCCGTCAAGCGCGATTGGGGGGCTGTCCATGTCGATGGGAGCGTCGTCGACCCCAACGGGGGCTCTGCCAATCTTGAGCGAGGGTCCGGAGATCTCCATCGAGGGGCTGTCACCCACGAAGTTAGGAGGAGGTCTGAGAGCCTCTCGGGATGGGCTGCCGATGGCGCCTGGGACCCAAAGGGAAGGCGCGTTCCCGGCGGGAGCGAGGCAGACCGCGCTCGGGACCGCGATGGCCGCGAACTGGCCATCGCCGACTTCTGGGATAACTCGGGGGAGCCCGGGGGGTGGGCTGTCATCTCCAAAGGCTTCTCCATCAAGCTCAAATGGCATAGCCTCCTCAGGGGGAGGGCTGTAGACTCCTCTGAAGCCAGCGTTTGCAGACTCGAGGTCTCGGGGCTCCTCGGGAGGAGCTCCAGGGACCCTGGCACCTGGGCCACCTGGAGCAAGGTCTGGGACCTGCAAGAGAGGTTGGCTGCAGTCTCCCTCCTCAGGCTGGTCAAACTCAAAGGGCATAGCTTCTTCTGGTGGAGGGCTGTAGCCTCCCATGCCTGATCTGGCACCTCCGAAGGCTCCGGGCTCCATGAGCGCTGGGCTGAAGGCCTGAAGGCCTGCCTCGGCCCCAGTTGGGGATCCAGACTGCTTCTGGGTAGGCCAGGAGACTCCCAAGCTGGGCTGCTCGACCTCAAAGGGCATGGCTTCCTCAGGAGGTGGGCTGTAGCTTCCACAGTCTTGAGCTTCCTCGAAGGCTGGTCCGAGGGCCTGCAAGTTGGGACTGGAGACCTCTGGGGGTCCACAGGCCTCGCCATCAATCTCGATGGGGATGGGCTCGCTGTGAAGCGGCTCGGCCTCCATCTCTTCGGCTGGGCTAGGCCCAGCACTGGGGGCAGCTGCCCCTGGGGCCTCCAAAGGTGGTTGCTCGGGATGTTCCCCGATTTCAGGGGGGATATTGCGTTGTCCTGACATATTATTGCCGTCGAGGCAGTTGCGCAGGCCCATAACACGGTGGCGGCCTCTTGAAATAAATTTGGGGCCCCTTAAGATGGAGCACCCAACCAAACTAGGGTGAAAAAAACTATTTAAAAAAAAAATTCAAAGAACCAGCTGGGAATTTCTCCAGCCTCACTTTCCAACCCTGGAGAGGTTGGGGGGTTAGGGCCTAGAACCCCAGACCACAGCAGAAGCAACTCAATTGTTGCTGGTAGAGTCTTGGCTCCTTCCTGGCCACTTTTTATCCCCTTAGGCTGCCCCCAGGCCACCCTCCCCCCCCACCCTTGGTCTGACCTTGTCCGCTCCTCTCTGTCTCTTTCTGCTCCAGGCCAGCCCCGCCTGTTTGGATCTGAGGAGCGTGTCGATTCGGTCCGAAAATCGCCGGTAGCGCTTGCTCTCTGCCACCAGAGGACGCCGGTCCCAGTGCCGAGTGGGGCTCTGGCTCCAGGAGCCAGCTCCCGGCGCCGGCAGCCCCGGACTTTGGGTAAGGGGGCTGATGAGCGCAGGCCTCGCAGGGACGTTTTGGCTCCTTCCACTCCTCTCCCGGACTGATTTGGAGTCTTTCTCCTCGCTTCTCCCCTGGCCAGAGAGAAAGATCTCCTGCGTTGCAGGACACGTGACGCAAGACGTGGGCCTTGGGACGCTGGAGTACAGCAGCTGAAACCCTCCCTCTCCAACCCAACTGACTCTCCTGGAGGGGAGGGGGGACTGCGGGAGGATTTCATTACCCCAGGACACCCCTGAACCCATGAGTCGTAGCCCCCAGCCCCAGGTGGCCCCTGATCTCGAGATCCAAGTACGGAGCGCAAAGCTTTAGGCATCTGGGAAGGGGACGCGGGTGAGCGCGTGGATGCGACAGGTGGTCGTCAGCCCACCAGAAGGGCGGAGAGGAGGCAAGGGGCGAGGGGCTGTCAAATGCGAACACGCAATTTGTTTTTAAGACGCCTTGGAGTACTTTCTGCAGCTTCTGCAGTTTTTGTTTGCCGCTTGCCGAGGTTGGCTCCGGTAAAGCACTTCAATGTCCCTGATCCCCGTCACGCTCGGGGGGGGGGGGGGGCCCC